TTTTTCATTATCATCAACTTTGAATTCTTTGTTCGACTTGGTTGACATACATGCAAGTTTGAAGATTTGATTTATGTAGATTGGCACTATTTTCCTACCTTTTGTCTCTTCATCGTTTCAGCTTGCTAACTTCTTCACGAAGTCACACGTGGTTCATCGTTTTCGTTTCTTACTTGGCAAACTCTCGATGCTCCTTGCAGCAGCATCATGAGTTTGAGAAGAGATGTTTGAGAGGAGATGTTAAGAAATATAGAGTTATTTTATTATATTGTTTATTAAGGGTAGAATAGTTTTTTCAATTTCATTTATTTAGCCTATATATAGTCTCTTTATTTCTAGGTTAAATAATTGTTTTGTATTTAATTGCATTATGCAGAATTAATGAAACTCTAACCTCCTTTTCCTTTTCTTTATTTTTTTGGATTGTTTAACACTGTTAATACATCATCCTCAAGTTCTAATGCTAAAATCCATTTATTTCCTTTCAATAATACAAGTTAGTCACCAAACCACAAGTTTCTTGTGCTTATTGAGTTGATTGATTTTCCAACCATTTTATTGAAAGGTACCATTTGAAGTTCTGACCACCTTCAAGTGGAAATTAGACAAAGGGAGTTAAATTTACATGCAGTATTTTTCCTCAATATTGATGTCTTCATTTGTTAATATGTGGTTGTAACTTCTGTTACATCTAATTACATGATTCCTGAGCTATTCAATTTTTTCAGGTGTTTCACATCTAAAAGGTCAGGATCTGTTAAAAGTCTTTCTTTGAAAGTCTGCAACTTGTCCAACAGAAAAAACTGCAAGTGCCATCTTTGCATGCAATTATAGTGGGAAGTGACATATTAACACAGACAAAATTCAAAATATAACTATGTGACTTTGTGGCAGAGAAGAAGCTTCAGGATTGTGTTCACTTTGTGAACAAGACGCTAAATATCTGGCCTCTATCAACATTCTTGTTCAGAATTCTCAGGTAGTTAATTCATAACTTTGACATTGATTTGTGTTCTAATTTAAATCTTATGATACTTCTTCAGATCTATTGTCGATACTAAGTAACAAATTATCATACATCAAAAATCAATGCATCAAAAAATCTTGTGGTAATCAATGAATACTCTCTAACCAGTCACGGGTCTGGTAGATATAAGTTCATTATCCTCATTCTCCACCACCGTGATACCTCCTTTCTTTGGCACAACTTGAACGGGGCTCACCCATGGACTATCCAAAACTGAATAGATAATGCCCGCATCAAGCCATTTTACGACCTCGGCTCTCACCACAATTAAACTCTTTGAAATTAATATTGAAAAGAAAATGATTAACTTT